TTTCAATTAAGTGTATTTGTTTCTTGTTTACCCATGGTTTAGCTAATTGACCAAGATGTTGAACAACATTTATCATTTGTTTTCGTGTTAAATCAGTACCAATCATAATTGACATTCGACAAGCTTTCGATGCAAATACTTTTCGTAATCGAGATGATTCATAGTGTTGTTCTTCTTGACATATTTTTTGACTTGTATCATTTAAATGTGAAAGTATTTCATCAATTTCATCAATACCAAATACACATGATTGAGCACCAGATACTGTTGGATAGGAAAGAATACGACAACGACGATCAATACGTGTTTCATTTTCATCAATTTCAATATCAAATCTAAAAATAAAATGAAAAGAAATCAATTTTTGTTTTTAATTTCTGATAGAATTACCCAAGACGATTAAATAAATCTAAATGTTGTTGAAGAAGAACTTGTCGAGATGGATCAAGTGGTATGGATTTTGGATGAAGAAGTGGTTGTCGACTAACAATTGTTTGTTCATAAAGACGATGAAAATTATATATTTCATCAGCTGCATGTTGATCAACAATAAATAATTGTGATGAATGATCAACAAGTGTAACAAGTATAAAACCACGATTAAATTGTCCAATTATATGCATTCTATTATGAATTATAAACTAATTTATTTAATTTTGAGAGATAAAAAAAAGAATAATATAAACCTTTCAAAATCAGTTTTATCAATTTGTCGTCTTAATTCATCTTCAGCTTCGTCATTTTGATCTTCTTCAATGTGAATATTAAAACGATGATCTGATATTGCTGATGATATGTCATCTTTTTCAGTCATTGATCGATATTTTTCTTTAAGTTTATTCATACTGAATTTAACTTTAATTTCACATGACTTATATGATGTTACTTTCTATAAATAAAATAATCAATCTAACTAATTCCAAATATACATATTCAAAAAATATACTCTATTACCTCAATATTAAATATTAAATAAAAAAAGTGATTAAATGAAATAGCAGAAAATATTTTAGTACAATATGAGTTTCTTATCAACTCAGACTGCTTGTTTTTTTTCTCGAAAGATCAATATACAATCAATACTTACAATACTTTCGAATTGTTCGATTGGTTGAGATTTTTCTTTAACAATTGGTGTTGATGTATACATTTGTAAATCATGATCAGTAGAAACTGGTATTTCAATTTCGTCTTCTTCTGTTATATCGTTTTGTTTAAGTTGTTTAATTTTATCTAGAAAATCTTTTTTTGATGGACTACCATGCACTAAAGTAACAACATGTGGATCATCTTCATCTTCATCTTCATCTTCATCTTGATCATCATTTGGAATGCTTGATTCACTACTTTTTGCAATAGGATATGATTCAAATGTAAATAATGTTCGATCTTGTGTTGATAAATTTGATGAAGATAGACTCGATTTTTCACTACGAATCTAAAAATAAATGTCAATCAAAAAAAACAAAGATAATCAATTTATAATTTCGAATACAATACCACATTGAAAGGACCAGAAAATTTCGATAAAGGATTACTAGTAGTCAAAATTGGAATATCAGAAGATTGTGACTAAAACATTTTAAAAAAAAAACAAAATCTAATGTTTCATTTCAATGGTTTTTTTGTTTTCTCACAGGTTTTTTAACAAAACGTTCAATTTTCATTTGTTTTATAGGTGGTGTTGGAATATCATGATTTTCTATTGTTTCTTGTTGTCTTTTATTTGATATAACATAAACATTACTACTTGTTTCAAATAATTTATTAAGAATATTTCGAATTTGATCGCACATATTTGATAAATGTTCAATAAAAACAGTTCGTTTATCTGGTGTACAATTAACATCAAGTGTACTTCGATCGAGTACTTCAATACTTAATACAACAAGTGGATATTGATTTGGATTAAATTGTCGATATATATCATTTATTGTTCGTAATAAAGGTGCACAATCAATAGGTCGATTATTTACATAAAGATATTGTCGATCAGTTGATGAACGACCAGAACCATGTTGAGGTCGAGAAATAAAACCATCGAACTAAATAGAAATATATCGTTTAACGAAAGAANTACTTCGATCGAGTACTTCAATACTTAATACAACAAGTGGATATTGATTTGGATTAAATTGTCGATATATATCATTTATTGTTCGTAATAAAGGTGCACAATCAATAGGTCGATTATTTACATAAAGATATTGTCGATCAGTTGATGAACGACCAGAACCATGTTGAGGTCGAGAAATAAAACCATCGAACTAAATAGAAATATATCGTTTAACGAAAGAAAAAAACTTTTTCTATTTATCTTGAGATATAATTTCTTCCTCATCCTTTTTCTCAATCCTCTTGAAATGCAATAAGTAGTTTATATATTATAATGAGATTTTATTGATTTACGGCATAGTTGTAACATCGAACTGAACGATCTTCATTAGTTGAAAAGTATTTTATAGATATACCGTTTTGTCTGATAAAACTTGTTGAGAACAAGTTGACTTGCTCTTATAAAAATCATTAACCAGTGTTATTTCTTTCAGCAACACAATCAAAACTATGTTACTTGAACTAAACTTTTTTGGTAAAGATCAAATTCAAGTTTGGATAGTGAAGAAATCTAATAGATATAAACAAATGAATGTTTTTTCAAGTTATTCCCATTAACCAATTAATAATAGCTCAACAAACCGATCAGATCGGATCAGTTCAAAAGTTCTATTAGTTTTAGAAAACTTTTCAAATAATCATAAATAGAATAGATAATGCACTGAATCTAATCATGAAAATTTTGCTGAACATCAGAACCATGTAAGAAATATTTAACGTAATTGAAGAGAAATCTCAATCATTAGCAATTATCAACTATAAACGATCTATGATGTCTGCCTAGTTTTTGAACTATCTTTAGATTATCATTAAAACAAAAAATTTTTCAATTTACTTTAAACTCTCTATTTTGATTATCTTCATTATCAACAATATGTATAATACTATCAAGTATTTTTTGTCCAAATATTTGTGCTAATGTATCTTTTAATGAAGTTGATGGAGTTAATGTTAATAATGGATGTGTTGGTGGATGATTATCGGATGATGATAATATTTGAAAAAATTGAATTTGTCGTGATATAATTGCAAATGATTGTACGATATTTAATGCTTGAGAAAATTCACGTTTTGAATGTGTACGTAATTCAGTACGACGAACAGGGAAACGACTAAATAATGAACGAATTGATACTGTTGTACCAATCTTAAATAGAAAAATCTTATTTCAACTAAAAGAAAGTCGAAGAATATTTTACTTCTCGAGGAAATGGAGTACGTGAAATAACTTGACCTTCACCATCAAATACTAGTTTTGTTCCTATTGATGCTGATGCATGACGTGTAATAATTGTTACATCACTAAATAATATATTTAGTTAAACAAAACAAAAAAAAAAAGAAACTTAAAAAATAATTATTCTTTACGCATAAATACAAATTGATGACAAAGCTTCACCACGAAATCCATATGTATTTACATGTTCAAGATCTTCATATTGACATAATTTTGATGTATGATATCGAAGTCCTAAAATAAAGAATTTTTTTGTTAAATTTAAAAATTAAATATTTTTATTTAAATAAAACCAATTTTTTCAAAATCATGTTCAGCAATTCCATCACCATTATCAACAAGTTCAATAAGATCAGCACCATGTGCAATAAATGTCAATTGTAAACGTGTACTATGTGCATCAAGACTATTTTCTATTAATTCTTTAACACATGAAGCAACACTAACACAAACTTGACCAGCACATAAACGAAGACGTGTAGTTCCAGCTAATGGACGAATTTGTGCTTCTCGATGATCATCATCATCATCCATCTGAAAGAAAGATTCTGTTTTTTTTTTTTTATATTATTTTAAATTTTATGAGAAATTAAAAAAGTAAACCAAGATGAACAATGAATAATAGTTCCTTTTTCAATAGAAAATAAAGATAAATTGCCTAGTTGACCATATTTATTCGAACCACATAACCATGCATGATTATTTGATCCAATAAAAGCACTATGTCTTGCACCAGCAGATATATGTATACAATCTACATCCAATGGTAAACATGTAACAAGTGTTGGATCACAAAATACACCTGATATATCATCTGTATCAGAAGAATCAAGACCAAGAGCACCATCATTATTCCAACCCCATGACATAGCTGATCCATCCGAAAGAAGAACTAAATGAAAAAAAAAAACAAACAAGTTTGTAAATTTTGGCTTTTATAATGTTTTAAATTCTTCGATACTGTTCTTGAGAACAAAGATGACTAATCGTGTAACTTTCTCAGAAATCACGTATTATAAAGCTTTACCACTATATCCACTGATTGTCCTCTGAAATGTGCGAGAATGGATTATTATAAAAATTAGTTTTTATTTTATTATGTTTCTTATTAATTTAGATTCTGCGTAGCTATGTATGATTAGAGTATGAAGTTCTATTAGATTAAATATATGTATTTGTAGTCTTATTAGAATTAAAAAATTTTCATATCCTCGAATCTTCCTTCAGAGAACCTAAAAATATCAAATGAGAATGCATAATGAATTTATTATTAATAAATAAAAAATTTTCTCTCAAAAAGTATTTATTGCAAAGCTCATATATCGAAGAATTTAAAATATTATAAAAGTCAAAAACATACAGAAGGTATTAGAAATGCTAATACTATTCAATACATCACAAGTTGGTCTACAAAATTGTATAGGTGACTTTTCAAATGAATAGTAGATGTGTTATTCGACAAAATCCTTTCTTTTAAATTATTCTACCTAATGAATGCCATCCACCAGCAGCAATATCAATGACATCATTCGATAATGATTCAATATGTGTAGGTTGAGAACAAGGTTCAAGATCACCAAGACCAAGTGCTCCATGAAGACCATTTCCCCAAGTAAATATTCGACCATCAGAAAGTAAAACTAAAACATGTTCTTTTCCACTACACATTTTTATAATCTTTGAATCGAATGACCATTGATCATTTGTTAATGAAAATATTTTACAATCATATCCAATAAAAATACTTCCATCATCAAGAGAACATAAATGAATTTTTTCATTTATATTTAATGATTCGATTGTTAAACATTGTTCTTCTTGTTTTGAATGTAAAATACATATTTTTAATTGATTTATATTATCTAATGAACGATAAACATAAATAATTCGATCAGTCGTTGATGTTAATGCAAGAATTGGATTTGGAGTAATGATTGTATCATATGAACTATTGAATTTTTCACCAAGTAGAACCGTAGAAAGATCATAGATAGTCAATGTACATTGTGATGCTAATACTAATTGACGATATGTTGCTGTTATCAATAGATGATTAAGATCGATTTTTTCATCGATATTAATATCTATTTGTTTATCGTAATTTAAAAGGCAAATATGAGACATTGAATATAAAAAGAATTCTACTGTTATCCATTGTTTCTTAATAAATAAATTATATTGGTTAACATTACTATTCTTTACTTGTCAAATCCAGCAGGTGTCGCAAATTCACGTTTTATAAACAATTTTTTTTTTCAAATAATGACATTCTTACATATATATATATATCTTAAGACAGTATGTACTTGCATAACTATTTTGTAATTACATAGAAGACTGTAATGAATAGATAAAGTGTAAAATAATCGATATTAAGAATATTTATTGTGTGTATGTAGGAGTATGTCTCAAGAGAATGAGGGTGGACTTTCAATCCGGAGAAATTTTCGCTTTTCCCCAGCAAAGTTTTAGTGTTTTATTCGTTTTTTTTCTCCCTGATTGCATTAGTGGCGGAGCCAGGGGGGGCTCAGCCCCCCCCCCCCCAGAAAAATTCTAAAACCATGTATTTTATTCGAAAACCGGGGCTCAGAGGTGCCTTAGAAGACGCTGAACCTCCCCAGCCCGTCCCAGCTCAAAATTCTGGCTCCGCCACTAGATTGCATGTTTCTTAGTACATTCGAATCATTATTTGGATTGTTTGTAATGCTTGTACGGCAGCGAAGAAAAGTTGTAAATAAACCTTGTTGAATAACTTTGGTTTCCCCTTTGTATATAAGTAATAAAGCTAACTACTTTAACTTTACACATCGTATGTAATGAAAAGTAACTGAATCATTGTTTTTACAGTCAAGAAAGCTGTTCAATTTCTGATGACATGAGCTTCTTTTTATTGTTCTTTTTTTTTTTGCTTTACAATTCTTTTCATCGGAAGTTTATTAAGAATTTAATTTAAATCATTTATTATATTCGCCTACAAGAAAATTTTCTACATTATTAAATTATTATTATAAAGTTGTTAATGATTGATCAGATGGTAATATTATTATTGGTGATTTAAATTGCCAAAGTATAAGTAAACAACAAGCACATTCAGCAAGAAATTCAAATCCAGTACTAATCTGATCACATAAATGCCATTGATGATTAACAAAATATAACCATTCATTGACAACACTTATTGTAATAAAAACAACAAAAAGCCAAAGTGCCCATTTTAAACGAAGTGTAAATAAATGATAATAAACAGAAAAAAAATCGTATAAAATAAATAAACTTATATTAGCTACAGTTCTTTTAACAAGATTTTCTTGTGCAAATATAGGTACAAGTATAGCTAAAATTATTTCAAGACGTGATATAACACTGAATAAAGCTTTATGTTGAACACAAATAAGTGGATCATATGAACGAATTTTATAGATACATACAAAACTTATAAATATTGTATCTTGTATTGTTCTTAATGCTAATATACATTCATGAAATATATTTTTTTCACGATGATGATATAAGAAATACACAATATTACCACCCGTCTAAATATATTAAATTTAATCTATTTATTTATTATTTTAAAATTTTACTTTTAAAATCCATATAATAATATGATAAATATATGTATAAATATAGGTAATTCTATTTGAATTACATTTAAGATGTGTATAGAATTGAAGAAAATAAAATATATGAAGTATAGTACTACATAAACCAGCATACATATTGCGAAATTTTAATTGCCATATTGCATCAATTTGATAACTAAGTACAGCAGTTACTGGTAAAAGTGACATTGCAACACGTAAAAAAGTATCTGATTTAAATTCATGTGAAGCAACTTCATCGGAATGCACAGAAAATGAATTAGAACCCGAATGAGACGGGCGAATCGATACTAGAAATATAAAAAGAATTAATATGAAAGGAAATTTTTTTTTTTTTGAAGATATAAAACATTTACATGGATGCATAATGACGGCATTCGATTTGTTCTATCAATTGATTTAGATTACATAGTAACCAATGAGTTAAATAAGCAAAATGATGAGTCATTCTAAAATGTAATGAAAACGATCAATAGTTCATTTGAAATTTATCAATTATCTAGCTATACTAATTATATGTTGACTTTTATTAAAGAAATTTTTTTCATTCTTTTTTTTTTTTTCAAGTATTAACGATTTGCCGATGTTTTAAAATGAATGATGCAAAAATTCGATATTAATTTTAACAAAAATATGTAAAAGAATTTAATCAAAAATGTTTTCCTAAGTTCATAAAAATCTTAGAGCAAAAATGGTTGGGAAACTCTTCCGAAACTTCGGCCACAATTTTTGTATTCGAATATATTTGTTTGCGGTAATTCAAACTCTTCTTGTATGAACAATATTTTTGTCCAACAACTGATTATTATTTTATCTTTATAGAAATAAATTAAGAATTAATTAGTTACTATCTCATAGAAAGAACATATTTAAACATATAAAAATTTAGTAAATGATTGAAGATTTTTATTATGAGAATCAAAGTTAAAATACTTTATATTTCATATATGTATGAACAATACGGTACCTATCAAATATAATCTATTTTATTCAAAATTTTCATGCACGTCATTGGCAAAGTTTGTTTCTGTTATGTAGAATAATGAATCAATATTATTGAAATGAACACAAAAAGAGTAATCTCAGATACAAAAATAAAATTTAAAAAAATTAAAAGTATTCATTTTGAATTAATTTCTTTATGTTAATTTTTATAGAGAAATTACACGAAGTGAACGAACAATCAATTACCTAGTTGGATTAGCTAATAGATTCAATGAGTCGAAAACGCTGTAAACTGAATAGAATAAAAAGATTTATTCAAAAAGGCTTCAGCTCAATTAACTCTCGGTCAACATGACGAAGTGCATTACTTTCATTGATGGATCATTGTTTCCATTTTTAAATTCAATAAAATTACTATTACTAACGACGGGCTAACAGTAGTAATGATTTGATCATCTAGTTGGTTCTTCAAGGGTATAATAGACGTATGTAACATGCACAATAGCGCGCTGTTTATCTTCTTATTACCATAATCTCTGTACACCGATGAAATTTGACATAAGAATATCTCAACGACGTAGTTCTACCAACTCATACCCTTGCAGATTTTTTTAGTCTATATGGCATCTATTTACTGCCAAAAACCAGCTTATAAGCTCTTAATCAGTTACGGTGATTCTCTCGTGAGATCGGTGAGTGATGAATTGCCATTTGAGACTTTCAAATACAGGCCTTCGTTTAAATCACTGGTGCGAAATTGAACAAATTCACTCTCATGATCTATTGTACTTTCGTTCATCAAGAAAAATCTATAATTTCTCTAGTATAATGTTTGTCAAATGTCGAACATTTGACACTGTTATTGGCTATCGATGTTCAAGGTAAGAAGCAGATCACTTACGTCAGTTTGATTTTCACATTCGTTCAATACTACGACAGGTTCAATAATTATTATGGTCAATGCCAAAGTTATTCACTTCCTTGTAT